ACACGAGGTTTTCGATGAGATGAAGTACGATGTGAGAATTTCAGCCGCCTTCGTTGGCCACGAAGTCAGGCCAGTTTTTATCAACGCGAGATAATCTGAATCCTGTTCACCGTAACGGCGACCATGACCTACGTAGGCAGGTAACCGATAGCTGAGTCACACACGCGTCAGACGGGCTGCGTGGCGTGTTATAACGTTAAATGCACACGACGTTGATCGTTATAGGCGCAGCTAAACTATTGTTTTTCAGAGAAATTAAAATGTGAAAAGCTAATTCTATAGGATTACTTTTCTCGAGTGCGCGTTTGCACATGCACATAGGCTTTCATGTTTACGAATGAAAAAAATAAAAAATAATAATAATCGTTAACATGGCATGGATGCACGTGATAAACAAGACCAAATTTCGCTTTTCTATGGTATGATAATAACGACGTGAGGTTAATTCCTTTTTGTCATTTTCGACAATTTTTCATTGCGGTGTAGACTTCAGTCGATGATTCGCGAAAGTCGAACAATTCAAACTGATAGAAAAATGTGACATTTAGCATTCGACAACGAACCCACGTAGATTGAAAAATGACCGGGGTTTGATGTGAAAAAAAAAACCCTAAAACCTGTTAATACGAATACCTTAACTATCATCTTTATTCCAAGTTAACCATGGTTGGTAATTCTAACTTATTGTACCGTTACTCGACCGGTGGCTGAGTATTCTTGTATCTCTCTTATTACTTTGCGAAGCAATTGTGTTTTACTATTGTCGATCATCTTGTTTCGTTATACCTAAAATGACCGATGTCAAAATCCCAAATCTATGGATATTGTTTATGGACCCATTTTGTCCAAAATTGGCGCAAACTGTCGCCACTTAGGCGCCTGGGCAGTGCGTGTGAACCGGCACCCCACACCAACGATACTACTTACAACCTAGCTATTTCGCCAACTGTTGTTTGCTTCAAAGTATTTTCGATATAACCTTTCCATTTCTACGGTTTTAGTACTATTTTACAAATGTATATCTTTATCACAAAATAGAAAAACCTAAATAATATAATAAAATCTAAATTACATGATGAAGATTGACTTTTCAGTATTCTGTTTTTCTATTGGTAAGTTACAAGCACAAATCACGTTTACAAAGACCTTTTTTTGAACAACTAGTTATGAGCCATGGACCACTTGTACAAGTACTGTTTCAGAAACAATGAATAACTAAACGTAGTACGGCAATGAATTTATATAGTTTTGCAAAAAGAATAAAACAAAATAAACCTTTTAATCGAACACCAACATTGTTAATAGTCATTATAGTTAATACATATTTGAAACTGTCACGTTCGGAAATTGCTATTCGCAATTATATATATATAATATGTAATATTTATAATACGTATACAGCGGAATAAAATAAAATTGTATTCGATTGGCTGGAAGGAAAGAAAAAGTTTTAGTTTGTGTAACTATAGCGTGCCTATATAAAACAGTAATCGATGGACGTCGCCGTTGCTTAACGTAAAAGAAAAATGATCATGGAACACCACGGATAAGAAAACAACGCGTCATAAATTGTGTGATTACTTTTTGTTGCGAAACGCACCGCTTCCGAAACAATGTGGAATGAATAAAACGGTTTTTGTTTATATGCGACATGTTGAATCGTAATAACTCAAACCTCGATGTAATTATCGAATTACGTCTTAGATCCCTTAGAATGTAATTTAATATTACTAATTTGAAACCGGAATATATTTGTCTCCCCTTTCAAGATTCTAGTTTTCGTAACCCGACCGGGTTATGCGCTATAGTATATAAAATGAAAACTGCGCCCGGACGGAATCGTACTAGTTTGAAGAATTTTCCGTCGTAGGCATGTGTCAGCAAGGTGTTCTAGCACATCTGCGATCCGTTTTATATGTCGGGACGAAGAATTATTTAATAAACCAAACGAAATTTATATAATTAACTTAAAATTAATAATATTGTCTTAACGCATTGGCTGATTACGCGCAATGAATCACTGTTAAATTTCAAATTTTTTGTGATTTACGTTCATCTCGTTTGTTTATTAGTGTATTAGCTTATTGCTCATAACATATATTGTTTTTCGTCAAATAGAACTGCTCAAAATTGTTGAAAAATAAAGATGTAATAACTATAATATAACGTGAACAGTAGTTTCAAACGAGTATAAGTCGACACATTCTATCCATTTCGACATTTTGACGAAAATAACTTCGATAATTGATAGTAACAGATGACTAGTACATCTATAGTTATTCATTTGAAACGTAATAACATTATTGTTTCGTGTATTATATTTATGTACTACCACCGTTTCCAAAGGAACATTATTTATGGACTATTATTCTGCAAAGAAATCATGTCGTATAATAATTCTAAATTATATAGAACATAACATAATATATGTATGTACTTGATTACCATTTGTGTGTACAATACATACGGTGTATTAAAATGTGCTGGGTCTTCTAACATCTAATCCCTGATGTTCTTTAATAAAAGTAATCAAACGCTGTACTGACAATACTGTCTCCACTCGCTTTGACCTCGACGGAGGAAACGATTTTATATTCGTACGTCCGTATTCTGCTAGTCCATACACCTTCAATCATAATAATTTGATGTTTTATATTTTCAAAAAAACGACAAACAAAAGAGTATGCATATTTTTGCAGAGTCGCAAATAAAAATTCAAATTATATCTCATAATTTTGTGCATTGGATGCGAGTTGTTGAATCGTACATATATACGACATGCACATGTGCTACGAAATAAACATAATATAGTGGTCATCAGTCGTATAAAATTTTTTGAATAGTACAATTTTATGATTTTCTTTTTCCTGTAAATCCAAACAGATTTGACAAATATTTATCACTAGTGGTGTATTTTAAATTATTTTCTGTGGGAAGGGAGATGGTTCAAATGTCTCTAATAATAAATTATGCTTATAATATTATGATTAATAAATCTAATTAATGAATTAATAATTATATCATTATCTTCTAGTGTTATCATTTATGTAACATTTTTAACCCTAATTTCTTAGTATTTTTAGCACCAACATTTCGTAAACAAAAATATGATATTATTACAAATTACAATATATGTTAATTCGGACATAAATGTAATTTTTTTTAATTTTGATCCTGTGACCTCAATATCCGAGAATATCCTCCTCCTCTCCCTAAAATTATTTCACTGCTAATGACTACAGAACACATGACGAACGTTTAATTCTATCTGTAAATTATTTTGAAGAAACATGGACTGGTCGGGTATAACGCAGGAACAGGTGAAAAGTCAACCTTTATCTCGGTCAATTTATGGAAATTTTGTAATGGTTTTAAATTGAACTCGATGTTACTGGGAATGGTTATACGTCTTTAAATTAATTACTGATTATACTATAAATAAATAATATTACCACTCCGATCTTTGTATTGATTTGCATGTTGAAATCGTGGTTGACGTCTGAAGTATAAGATAAGGTGACCAATTTATATTTTAAAATAATAATCACTTTTTCTTTAAATCACTATTATTAATTTTTTTTAAACTTTTTTAACACATGTATTTAGAATTATTACAAACGTTTATAATTAATTACATCTTGTTGCATAGACGATCCGCTTAGTCTTTTACACTCGCCTTGACCGTCTGTACAAAAAGACAGTAAGAAAGCGTCTCTCCAAAGGACAATAAGAACGCGTCTATCTGCGTGACTAAAACCTAAGCTCCTTATATTTAATGTTGTGTGTGTGTGTGTGTGTGTGTGTATGTCTACGTGTGTATGTAATATATTTTCGTTACATTTTATTCTATTCAATAATTTATCCTTATTCTTAATGGCTAAAAATTCTTATAATTATTTTTAATACATTAAATTTTAAAAATATATGATTGCTTAGGCGAGTAGCATTACACTGTTATGCTATTATAGAACTTGTTTTTGCTTAGCAGAAAACATTCCAAAATCTATCTATTTCTTTTGTCGAAGAATGGCATATCGTATAATGGTTTTTTATTTCCGTTAAACATAATTCATCTGAGTATTCAAAAGTGTATTAAGACGATCGAATAGGAAGAATCATTAATAGGATACTTATCAAATAATATATAGCAGGTAATCATGAAAGTGCGAAAGTAAAATGCAAGGTTAACATTTTGCTGAAACAAAACAAAAATGTTGTGATCACTATGAAAACGGATTGATAGAAGATTGCTTAAGATACACTAGCCAATACTTTTCGGTCAATATGAACGTAATTAACTTCATTTACCTAAATTTTTAACCGTATTTATACTGGACACGATTTTAATTACGTTCAGCTGACAACCTACGACGATCGACGGTAACATTGCAGACGCCCAGTCCATTGTCCGCGGGACAGTCACCGTAACGTGGTTTCAAAGGTACAAACCCGTACAACAATTATCGACCAACACGGCTAAATAGTTGTTCGTAGCTGCTAAAAAATAATGCACATTGGACGTCGTGTTGTTCGTCGAACCGTGATGGAATTATATTTACGATAAAAATCCGCAACAGCAACGACGACGACGACAAAAATATCCAATGCGACATACGGAAAAGAATCGTTTGTGATTCGTTCGTGTCCGGGAAAAAAGGCGCGCTCGGATTTGACCGTTACGGTACGTCTCAACAACATCGCACGTGTACCCACCATACAGTTGCGCAATAGGTGCGGCACGTGTAACGGTCGTGCGCGTGTGAGATCGGAAGACGCGGATTAAAGAAAAAAAAAATTAGAACAAATGAAATTCGTCTCCGATGACTTTCAACTCCAACCTTACAAGCATCGTGTGCAAAACAGTATTGTTCGTACAACGCGGTATTGTGTTGTTTATCCGATCCGGTTCCGGTAAAATCGGCGGGACACAACCAACAACCCCCCACGCCCGACTCGGGAACACGACAACACGACCGACGGAATATAAAAACGGCGTGCGCGCGGTGTTCTCGCACGTCATTCGCACTCGCGTTAGTTTACACTTTCGCTGATCGATTCGCGCGCGTACCGCAAAACCGAACCACCGGCGCGCGAGCACACGTTACACGTCACACCGAGCTGCGATCCGATCGACGGAGAACGCGCGTGATCGACGTTCGAAGATCCGTAATCCACCGAGGACCTCGCAGAATTGTGTCGCCGTTGTAGTCCACAGGTAACGGAATAAAGGAAAATCGAATATCGAACCCCTTTCCGGGCTCGCCGAGAGTTTTACAGAATTCATCCCCGCAGTATATAGCCAAACGGCCGTCGTTAAAACGAGTGAGTTTCGTTTATTGTTTTTGTTTTTCTCTCTTACGCGTTCGCATTCCGTGTCCGTTTCTGCATTTACTTGTGCACCGTAAACCCCAGTCCGTTGTCATGCTTGACCGATACGTCGTTTCAAATTCTGAAAATTTGTTATGCCCCTTTGAAAAGTTTCACCCCGATGCGAAATCAATTTTTGTTTTTCTAACGGAAACGTAATTTTTTTCTCTATAAACAATTGAATCGGTACTTTCGGAATTAAATAGATTTTAGAACATTTATGTTTTTGGTGCAGGGAACGAGAAAACGATAAAACCTATCCATGACCGGTATTTATTGATACTATTGTTACTTAGACATTTAATAATGTTTATTGTTAGCGTAATCTTGAAACTGTTACGATGAAAGAAAATGAATAATTTTCTAACCGTTTAATATTTTACATACGCAATTTAAAATTTTAATGATTCCAAAAGTATTGATTTACATTTTATAATAAAAAAAATAAGACGATTATTCTTAGTTTTCGTTTGATCTTCACCATGTTTCTCGAATGTATATGATTCTAAAATGAATGTATAACATTCACAATTAAGTAAATAACGTAACTTCCGATATTTCATCATAATTATATTTCTCCCTTCGCCCTCCCCTCTCCCCCAGAAATCCTTCTCCCGGTCGAGAAACACTGTTAACTCTAATCCTGTGAATTTTCGGAGAGAATCGTCCCGTACACTACCACTTGCTGATGATGTAAACTATTTATAAATATCAATGTCGGATTCAGGTTTCATCACAATGTCTGTCGTCAAAGGCTGCGTCATTGTCCTTTTCTTGGGCCTGCTGTGCCTGGTCGGCGAGACGATGTCGTCCGTCTGCTGTTCATTGCCCACCACGGTCCCGGTTCCGTGCAACCATTCTAACACTATCCTACTACCGTCGTTGGTCGAGGAGGACCCTCAAAGCTCTGAAATTGCAAGCAACCATCCGATGGAGCCCATTGACTTGGACGACCAGTCGAGCGTAGAGGACGGTATCAGTGACCCACAGGCCAACCAAGACGAAGGGACTTCGGGCCGCATGTGTTACGAGTACTACTGCGGTACGGTGCAGGTCGAGGCCGCTGACACGTATTGTTCCTATGAGCCGTGCGACTCCACGGGCTGCCACTGCGCCGCCGACTGCATTGACGGATCGTACAGAACGCCCAAGTGGATACGGTGAACGCCGAAAAACCCACATAAGTACATAATCATATCGTCCAGAGCTATGTTTAAGAATTTACCGCCCCAGGGGCAACCAAAACAATGCAAAACGAGATACGTTAGGATTAATGTGTTGAAAGTTTAATGAATATTAGTTGAACTAACTGCATTATATTTAACGAATCCTCGATGTTCTATCTTATGTATGTATTTTATTTTTTTTATATTTTTTTTCCTCTTTTAATAGTTTAGTTCTTTACGTTGTATAGTATTATTGTATTACTATTATAACAATTGTACTCGTTTTTTATATAAATAAATAAATGTTTAAAAAAATTCCACTATCCTCGTAAAACCGACTGCTCGTGGCAATACCTCTTTTCCCATAATACGATCTTGATATTACCTAATTTCTAGTATGTCTGTCGCACAATTTCGGTTACAGATATGGTAATACCGTCACCGTCTCCTGCACCCTTTAAACATAATAGTATTATTTTTAACATGCACATATTTTGTACTTAATGATTTGTAGGCCTGTCGGCGTATGTTGATTGTATCTTGGTAATAATATGTCTTAAAAATATTAGAACGAGTACAATACACTAGCCTACAATAATATGAAGACCTTACAACGAACAGGTCATTCCGTACATTACATGTATTCTTAGTATTTGTATTATCTTATACCATAATAGTGGTCGATGCAGGGACAAATATTAAGACAATATATGATAAAACTACAATACCACAGCAATGATATTGTTTAAAACTATTAATTAATAAACGCTGCAGGTCGATTGAATATTTTTTAATCTGTAAACACATTCCAAAAACATAGCGAAACTCAAACACACGAATACTAACATTGTGTACGTGTATTGTACTTTTTTTTGAAACGTTTGAAAACGTATCAGTTAAGTTATTGGTTATTTAAGGATATTATTTATTTTGAGACAGTTGCAAGTTTACAATGAAAGTATAATTACACATAAGTTTGAATACACGTGGAGGGTGAAGCTTCAATTCTACACTTAGAATGAACTTTTATCAGTGATTAAACCGTTTAGAACTTGTTATCATTGTTCAAACGTATCCATAGATTGGTTTTCAATATTATAACTGTACAGTTCCAACTTGAAGATTGGCACAATTGTCTTATTTTTTACTTAATATTAAGACGTTAATGTAAATATTATTCAATTACTGGAGGGTTTTCAATAACTAGATAGTTCACCCTGATGTGTATTAATTTACAACGTTCGGTGAGAGTCGAATTTTCTTATATAATTGCGTTTAAAATGTTGAAGATTACTTAATATTTTGTCATTATTATTCACCATGTCACGAAAAGTAGTAAGAAACATTTGGTGGCAATACATGAAAATCGAATTATTGTCTAATGATCGATGAAAAAATATTATTATTTGCCTACTTGTTTACGAGAAATAAAATTGCAATCACATAATTTTACGATTAAAACAATAACTGATGTACAAAATAGAATGTACAGTAGAAATAGAACACGACATATGAAATAATATATTATCGCTTATTATTGCAACGCGCGAGTAAAACGACGGTATAGTTATGATAAATAAATACGACATATTTTACAATCTTTTTACGTATAATCTGATAAATTATATCTATTTTTGTCTGATGTTTTGCACTGTTTTTTACGCCTCATTTAAAATTATAATGTAATAGCTAACACAGAGGTTATCTAAAAAAATATGTGATCCCAATGAGTATGTACGTTTACGGTTTACATATTGTAAGAATGTAATACAGGTGGTGCATATGAAAAGGCATATCATGTTAATTGTTAGGCCCCATACATAGAATAGACGTTGTGGACCCGAGGAGCAAGGACGAATTTCCGAGAGGGGTGGGCAATCGCTTCACTCCCTTCTCCACTAGTGTCTCTGTTCTTATTTTCATATTTATACTTTAATACTACCGTAAAAATAAGTACTGATAATATACAGAGTGTGCACTGAATACAGTAATGTTTTTCGTACCGTAAGTGTTAAATACTTTTGTACTGTTGCTGATTGCCTGCTTTATTTGCTCTGACAAATCTTTTTTTTCAATAGTGACGGTGGTTTAATATGTATTTCTTTCTTTCTATTCATAATCATCTTTTTTAGCAATTTTTATCGGTGTATATGCATTATTTTATTTATTTTTCGTTTCAAACATTTCTAGTATAAAATTAATATCTAAGTACTCGTTAATCGATATGAAAGTCCAAACAGAAATTATTTCGTCATACAAAATAATTATCATCAAAAAATATGGATTATCACAAAAATCAAAATTTTAAGAATTTATTAATTGTACACTGTTCATGTGAATTTTTATATGGAAGCTTGTACTCAGTAACAGAGTATTAAAAAAAAATAAAAAACCTAACCGACATATTTACTAAATATACTAAATACCTTTATATAACTAATATCTAACACATTTTTAAAAACACCGGCAAAATAATTTTTTTCATTTTTATTGCGCCAAATGGTATTATTCGATCTCTAGTTCTTGGAACCTGAACATTATATGAATAGAAGATATAAGGTAAAACGTACAATTATTGTGTCGATAAATATTAATATAAAAAATAAAATCTACCGCGGAGTTTTTCAAAGTACAGCAATCAGCATTTTGTATCTTATAATTTGTACTAACGGTTCATCTTACGTGACATTTTAAAACAATAACTGACTGAACGATTTGCATATGACGTGCAAAAAACTATATTTCATTAAAACGTCAACACCGTCGTCTGGTCTATAGTTCGAATACTTATAAATCAGTTTAGCATTTATATATAATATTTAATTTTCATATTTAGTGCTACGATTTATAACCATGTGCTAATTAAGTACGTCGTTGCACATAATAGTTTAAAGTTCATCTCAGTCGATTCATTTGCTTCGTGTTATAACATTGTTTTTTTCCTCCCGTTTTTTGATTATCATAATACTTATAAGTCACTTACGTATAGAATCCGTAATCGGACGTATTATATAATGCCTTGGTTTTGGCGAACATAATCTAACTATTATTCTGGTACCTACTTCCAAGTGTAATTTTGGACAAGTTAAAAGCAGATATTATTAGCACAACGCTCTTGCTAAATAGTTCCGTTGGACTACGTACACAAAGATAAGTATTATCGTTGATTTTATTATATATATATTTACTATATTTATTAAATATATATTTTATAATACTCTAAATTAATGATGTTATATTATTATTAACGCCGTTCAACGTTTAACTAAATATGTAGCTGTACCGTACTGTTATGATTTTAGTAACGGTGATGATGCAACAGTATAGAATTAACAGTGAGACCAAAGTCTACAACTTACTAGTAATTACATTTATTACGAGTATAAAATTCAATGTTGATTTGGATTTTATGTAAAAAAGATAAACGCAAAAATGATGGGTGATCAAACCGAACATGGTCACCGACGGTTTCGCTTTCCGGACGCAACGACCACCGGAATAAAGGAAACCCCTAACGCCTCCGCACATCCACTACAACAAAAACACACAAACAAATAAGAAACTACCGTGTACACAGCTAATTTGAATTTAATACTGTAATAGTGAAAGTTGTACCAAGAATAAAAATAATAAAATATAATCCGTAAAACCATTGATTGTAAATATTATTATTCACAGTTAATGATAAAACGCATTATTCGCATTAAGATACTGCTAATAGTGGATTTGCAGAACGTGAAACATTTATAGTTGTACATGAAAAATATAACGCTTCCAATCTCATGACCTACACAATGTTCGAAGTTGTTTAAATCTACGGGTCATATAAATGACTATAAATTTCAATCTCCGAGACGGATCGTTGCATTTGAACAATGATTTTGAACAAAGCTTAATTTGAAGTAACAATGTGTTTTTTTTAAATTGAGAATGGAAAAATCACATTTTTCTTTTTCTTTGAACAAAAAACACCGTGAAAATTTATATTGATGTATTAGGAGTTTAAAATTTTAAAATGTAAAAATCTAAACTAATTGTCATAATTAATTTTTGACATATTAAATACAGTGTTAGAGTTGACTAGTTTTGTTGATAAATGTTATTTAACTAAAATTTGATTATTGAAAATTAGACACTGCACGTATGCATGATTTAGCTCATGGGTAAAACACAATTGCGTACGTTCGTTATCGGCAATAACTTTTTAAGCTACACGATTCCATATGATATTACCTGATTTTAACTACACGATTGCATACAAAGTATTAAACGTTGATGCCAATTTTCATACTGGTATTGGTGTATACCACATTTCAATAACATTAAAAAAATTAGTAAATACTTTGTGTTTTATTTTTTTTATACCTATGTTTATTTATTATTGATATCAAATACATCAGTTATACCGAAATTTCATTATTTCCATTATATTATACGGTATTTTCCAAGTTTCAGTAAAATTAGTAGATTATAGATATCAAGGAATCCAAATTTAAGCATTTTCAAGTAATTTATTATCAATAATTTCATTCAAATAAAAACTATTGATTTTATTTATTTATTCATTAATTTACTTTTATTTAATTATCCTCATTTTATTTATTATTTTATTATTAATTTTTTTATGAATTATTATAGAACTGTTATATTTATTATGTTTTTTTTTTTTGTTAATTTTTTTAATTTTTGATTTTTTTTGTTGATCTAAATATTTTTACTATTATTAGTGAAATTAGTAAATTTGGCAACGTTGCATACATTTTCATAGGCATTCGTGTTTATTTATTTTTCTTATCCACCTTTTTATAACCAATCTATAAACGTACGCAATCGTGTTCTACCCTAGGTTAGGTTAGCTCATTACTTAATTATTAAAATTGTGACTGACCTTTTTATTTTTAACTTGGTAATAATTCAATGCTCTAAACATTCTGTCCAAATACGCTTTTACTTTGAACCTATACGTTATAAAAGAAAAAAAATGAACAGTAATTAAAGATAATAATTAATTGCCGTATTATTGATTAGTAATTATTTACAATCAATTGAATATTTAATAATCAATATT